TGCAATGACGTTTCACACACAATAAAGCTAAACAAACCAAAAAAACGTGTAGACCTTAAAAAACGAAGCATTTCTGGGCAATAGAACATACATTCAAATTCAAAACCCAAACGCAACAAGATCAAAAAATAACTATGACAAATATAACCTATATAAAAACTCAAAGGAGGCATTTTCCTTCCTCAGGGAAGGAATTCCAGTCCAAACAAACCATCTGTTGCGTTCAGAAAAGGAAAAAAAAAAGTCCAAAAAACAGTCCAAAACTTACAAGCACAACTCACCCAAGAAGCAATCTACGTATCCACATTGTCCACACCGCTCAGCACGAAGTATGAAAAATAAGTAATGTTACAGAACGCAAATTGCTCATTCTGGTCGGTGCTGGAAATGTCAACAAGGCAAAGGTAAATAGCAACGCTGTTTATGATTCCGCGACGTTGCCAGTTGCAGCCGGTTTTACGCGCTGATCCTTTTCGGACATGAACTCTGAAACAGCAGCCGGTGTACTGAAAACCTTGGTGGAATTCCTGATAGTTACTTGCAACTTAGCTGGATATAACATTGCATAGCAGGCTCCGATTTCTTGCAAGCGATGTTTAACCGAATCAAATTCTCTGCGTTTACGAAGCACCGCGGCAGAGAAATCTTGATAAAAGGATACCTTACTGTTGTCGAACACCAGGTTTCCATCCATGGACAACTTTCTGCTTGCATCAAAAATCCTCTGTTTATCTCCGTAGTTATGCATGCGCACCACCATCGGCCTGGGTCTCTCTTTGGCACCTGGTCTCGGTGCTAGAGTACGGTGAGCCCTTTCAATCTTAACATGTCCTGCTTTAGTCTGCAAATAAGAAAACTCCGGGATCCATTTTTGAAGAATTAACACCGCGTTAGAGCCCTCTGCCCCTTCAGGTAAGCCGAGAATGTGAATGTTTTTGCGCCTTCCTCTATTCTCCAAGTCATCTATGTGGTCAGTAAGTGACGCGACTTGACTTTCCAGCGTGAGTACACGGGCCTGCATGCCTTCTGTAAACTCCTCCGCCGCACCAATTATTCGTTTGGCCTCATCCAGTCGAGTCTTGCAATTCTCCAGTTGTTGAGAATGAATTTGTACGAGCTCAGCTAGAGGATCAAGTTTTGCGTTTATCGTTTTTGAAATCGATTCCGTCATTTGTTGAAACGCCTTTGCCATGGAAGGGCTTAACTCAAACTCACTGCTAGTTTGGCCTCACAGGATACCGGTGACGAGGTCGGGGAAGAGTCTTTCTTGGGTTTCATTGCAGTGCGGGGCATTTTCAAAAAAGATTTTGGCCAAAAAGATTCCAGAGACATAATACTATAATTAAACGTCAAAAGCCATAAGGTTGCGTCAGATTACAATTAGTAATTCGCTGATTGGTGCAGGAGCACGTGAAAAACGCTGTTACACTCTATCCACCATCTTGCCCTCCCACTTCGGGGAAATCTTCAAAGGGAACAGTGTAATTTATAACATCATTTACATCACCCAGGCTATGTTGTTTCACTTTTTAACAAAATGTAAACATGATATAAGGAACTGCTATTTTCATTTTAAAATTAACTTAACAGACACCAAAAATGTTGAGGCATCGTGTAGCTGCATATTTATGATTGTCATCTTCACTGTATGCACATTTATAACAAAACCTAGCCTATAAGATAACTGCCTCCTTTTATTATCAGTGAAAATACGAAACATACCCTCTGTTTTACTGAATATCAATTTTAATAATCGATAATGGCTATTATAAAAAAAGTATAACGTACAATGTTTATATATTATAGAAAATAAAGACAAGCAATTAGTCAAATGTGCAGAATTCTACCTTTCTAATATTGTCAGGAGTTTCCGTGGTTACATTAATTAATATATTAACCTAACTTTGTGCTCAGCCAAAGCACGCTACCTGAGATCAAGTAATAGATTTAAAAGACCAAAATCGGGGAATATGTTGTTAGATATAGACAACAAGATGAATTAAATATCACGTTTAACAAATATAGTGAGATTAGATCCAGCTGTAGATAGCGATACAGAACTTTTTCTGTAACTTTCCCCAGCCTTGTGCCTTGAGACAATCCTGACAATCCTTTGTCTTCATGCTTGTTTTGTGCTTTGACATGCACATATCACTTCTATTAGTGATAATTTCTTTGGTTTGACTATAATATTAAAATTAACATTAGTATTAATATTATTATTAAAATTTTGGTCACTCCCCTCTTAAGTGTGTAAATAATAGATAAATAACGTATTTTAAATGAGGCACCAATGACCGCCTTTACTGTGGCAATAATTAACAATCAAAGAAAGAGTTTATCTGGCCAAATCTAAAGGATAGTGATATTATCTGACTTGTACAGCCTATTACTGTATTATCAACACAAGAATTGCTTAAGAACAACACAAAAAATACTAAATGTACAATAAATGAAGAGCTTAGGCATGAGTGCTGAGGTGATTTAGTTGAGGAGTTGTGATTAACATTTACATTTAGTCATTTAGCAGACGCTTTTATCCAAAGCGACTTACAAATGAGGACAAGGAAGCAACTTACACAACTATAAGAGCAACAATGAAAAGTGCATTAGTATAGTGAAAGTGCTATAGGCAAGTTTCAGGTCTGTAAAGTCTAAGAAGGAAAGTATTAGTATTTTTTTTTTCTTCTTGGTACAGTTAGTGTGATATCCAGAGAGGCAGTTGCAGATTATGAAGAGAAGTGGAGACTAAAGAGTTGAGTTTTTAGTCGTTTCTTGAAAATAGCGAGTGACTCTGCTGTTCTGATGCAGTTAGGGAGCTCATTCCACCAACTGGGCAGATTAAGCGTGAGCGTGAGCGAAAGTGATTTCTTCCCTCTTTGGGATGGAACCACAAGGCGACGTTCATTCACAGAACGCAAGTTTCTGGAGGGCACATAGATCTGCAGAAGTGAGAGCATATAAGAAGGAGCAAGGCCAGAAGTCACTTTGTAGGCAAACATCAGAGCTTTGAATTTGATGCGAACAGCAACTGGCAGCCAGTGCAATCGGACTAGCAGCGGAGTGACATGTGCTCGTTTAGGTTCATTGAAGACCACTCGTGCTGCTGCATTCTGGAGCAGTTGAAGAGGCTTGATAGAGTTAGCTGGAAGCCCAGCAAGTAGAGAGTTGCAGTAATCCAGTTTGGAGAGAACAAGGAGTTGAGCTGCATGTTCAGATAGGAAGGGTCGGATCTTTCTGATGTTATAGAGTGCGAATCTGCACGATCGAGCAGTTCTAGAAATGTGGTCAGAGAAGTTTAGTTGGTCATCATCAATCGTTACTCCAAGGCTTTTCACCATTTTGGATGCAGTAATGGTTTCCCCATCCATCTGGATTGAAAAGTTATGGTGTAGAGTCGGGTTGGCAGAAACTACAAGCATTTCCGTTTTTGCGAGGTTCAGCTGAAGATGATGATCTTTCATCCAGTGTGAAATATCCAACAGGCAGGCTGAGATGCGAGCTGGAACCGAGGGATCATCAGGATTAATAACTCTGTTATGTTTTCTAAAGACAAGCTAGAGTCTAATAAGGTCAAATATATTGTAAAATAACAAAAACTGAGGAAATTTTTGTTATTAATTAATATAAGTTATAAGCATCTAATTAATTAGAATATCTTAAACTTAAACACACTATGCCAAGGTATCTGATATACTCAGCCCCATTATATTTTTCTAATGTGTTTTATCTAAGGGATAATTTGTGGTGGCTTTTTCTTTTTATGCATATAACATGATTTATATATACACATATTTTTCCTAATTTACATATTTTATTTATTTTATTTATATATATTTTTTATAAATAATAATAAATGCCCTTGCCTCCATTATGAGATATTTAACCAAGGTGAAGACCTGGATGTTTTTTTTTTTTTTTTTTTTTTTTCAATGCGGGAAAAACAACTAGTCTGTTTTAGGGATCCTGCCCCTCCTGATTTATCAGGTTTAGTTGAGCTATTCACTTATTAAAACTTGTTATATGAAATCTAGGGTTTAATTGCATGTTTAATAGAAATTTTAATTTGAAAAAGAGATAAATTCATTAAATATTTTTTCCATTAACAAATTGTAAAAAAAAAAAAGTGATGTTGTTTCTCTCTTTTAATGATTCTTATAAGGTAAATCATGCGTTTATTCTGGAGATACTTGGCTATTGCTATATGTGGGTGTCAGTCAAAATGTACTGAACAGACTGCAATTTGTCCAAAATCTCTAGTTTTTTTTTTTTTTATCTCTGGGCTGGTTGCATGTCAGGTTTCAAATTGATTTTAAGTAATTAGCTTTTGTTTATTTATCCTTAAAGGATCTAGCACCTTTTTACATATCAGATATCCTATACAATCTAGATCTCCATACATTGTTAAGTGATTAAGTTTATCAGATCAGACGTTTCTGTCAATTACTATGAACCCTGGGGGTTGAACTTTTTTGTTATTGCTCTAAAGTGCTGGAATTTGCTTCCACCTCACATTAGACATGCTCCAACTTTACTTGTTTTTAAAAACCTTCTGCATTTTCTTGCTTAAGCATTTGAGACTTGTCAATGTTGGCAGCTTTGTTTTTGTTTTTGTGTTTTAGTTTAGTTATATATGTGTTGTGTCATTTATTTTATTAGTATTATTGTGTTCAGCACTTTGAGCAATACTGTGTTGTAAAAATGTGCTAAATTAATAAACAACATACATAACGGTCATTTGCACATGTGAGTGCATTGAGAAATAGAGAAATAGCTAAATTACTCATCTTTTTTTTGCCAATATTTTGTTTAAATACTTTTTGACTATTAAAACAATTTGCCTTAGCAATGTATAAATTTATTTATTTATTATTATTATTACTTTTTTCAATATTGCACAGCCCTAATTTAGATAGCTTTGTGCAAATTTGCCTGTTCTCCCATTTTATTATTTTCTTAAAATGTAAAATACAAATTCTCTTTTCTCTTTACATGTACAGAGTCCAGTCAAGGCTATCTTCTGGGAGTACTTCTACTCTACTTCCCGAATCAGACAATGATGTCATAGATGCATCATCACACAACCAGTGCATACCCTCTCCCCCCAGAAGCCATTACAGCAGCAGCAGCAGCTTGATTCATAACAAACTCACAGACTCACTGTGTATCCATGAAAGAGACACTGAACTGTCTAAAAGAAACTTTGAGCCAAAGAACTTGCTAAGTCTTTTTGAAGAGACCACCCTAGATGGTGATCACTGAGGTTTCATTGAATGCAGTGCTTTTACACGTTATATGATTTATGTATTTCAAATTTGGTTGCTATCTTAGTAGAAAACCGTTTTAATTCAATTGAGATGTTTAAACCTGGTTTGATTATTGTTTTGTAATTGTTGTTTTTGGTTGGTGTAAGTTTGCCAATATATTCAAAGATTTAAGATATATAACATTAAGAGAGAATATTTACTGTCTATGTCATTGTCATTCCTCAGAGACCACATTACATTAATGACAGTAACACAGAACTAATGACAGTTCAAGTGAAAACTGCTGAATGACTTTTGTAATAAAAAAAAAATGCACTAAGATCTAACATGACAAACTGCAAAAGCCTGTAAAAGAAATAAAAGCTTGGAACGTTGTCTTTTATTAAACTGTTGGTTGTTTCAGTGGAAATCATTAGCTTTCCATTGATGTGAACGGGATCATTTAACCTTGTTGTCACTAACGATGCAAAATCAGTATTTTGGTCTGAATGTTTAATTAAATTTACTGTCCGCTCCATACACTCTGCATTTCAAATGTCTCGCACAAGCGGTAATTTTTTATTGTCATTTAAAATAAATATTATATAGTACATAAATTAATAATAAAAAAAAAACTAAATATTACAAACTTTCAAGGATTTAAGATGTGATGACCATTAAACGCATCATAACAGTCTGGTAAAAATAATTCATCGTTGTTTTACATGCACATGCATTGAAAAAATATATAGTTTTAATAAAAACATGCACTTGTTTTTTATATTAATTTAAATATATGTAAATGGCACATGCAGGGCCTATGTTACCTACAATTATTATTGAGAATATCCCATAATCTAGTCTAAAACATAAAACCATTTTTGACTGTATTTTATTTCTGCTACTATATCACAAACTATTTCATGTTTTGTCTTTTCAAATTCAGATCTGCAACACATTTAAAAAATTGTGTATTGTAGTCAGGTGTATCAGTATTTTAGGTCATTTTTGGGAGAAATGGACGCTGTGTGCTCTTACCTAAAAAAGAAAAGGATCATCCATGTTACCAGCAACAAGTCCAAAAGCCAGGGTATGTCATGGTATTAAGTTGTGTCACTGCCCTTGAAAAAGGTAACTTCTGTGATGGCACTTTTAATGCTGAAAAGTACGTAGAGATTTTAGAGCACAATATTCTGCCTTCAAGAAGACATGTTTTCCAGGTACACCCATGCATATTTTAACGAGAAAATGCAAAACCACATTCTCCACATATTACAAAGTCCTGGATACAAAAAAAGAGGACACAGGTACTTAACTGGCCTGTCTGCAGTCCCAACCTGTCTCCAATAGAGAATGTGTGGCACATTTTGAAGCACAAAATGTGTCATCAAAGACCCCATATATACGTATACACATACATAATGACACACACACACACAAAAAAAAACTTGTAGTTAAACTCTAGATTTTCTGAGAGTCTGTGGCTTGTGAATAGTATGCAGTCTTTTGTAAGGGCTTTTTCTTTGGTGATTCCACTCTGATGACTTCCTGTCATTCATGGATCTCTGTAGTGATGTTCTGGAAAGGGGTATTTCTTGAGAAGATGTAACATTGTAATCTTGTATTTTTGGTTTGATTTTGGAGCACCACTTGGAGATCATCCTCCATGTTCAGTCATCTGCATTTATTTTTAATGTATTTGAGTGCCATGAAGGTGTCGAAAAGTTTAGGCTGGTGCCTTAAAATCTATCTGTTGCAGGATACGCTAGTGCTGTGGGGATTATCCGATGGCAAGAACAGATTATTTATATAGCACATTTAACCCTTTAACTGCCTGCTAGACCAAATGGTTGGCCATATTTTGACTGACTAGTGTGTGGAAATCACAACTTTCAAAGATGGTTACCTCTTAAATGGTAAATGCTGGTGTACTAACATTAGCACAATTGTAAGAGACTGATATTTGATTGTTTTTTGCAGTTTTTTGTTGGATGTCAACAGTTTCTATGCTACAAGAACGCACATCCTTCAGGCCCTTTTACCAGAAAATCCCTTTACTGATGAGATAATTCAGCATGTTCACTCACATACAGTGCATACACACTTAAATGTACAATTTCTCCCTAAACTCTCACACATTCTCACAAACACAGTTCTCGCTCTTTCTCTTATCTCTCTCTCTCTCTCTCTCACACACACATTTTTGTGAATTGTGGGGACATTACATTTTTATACGGTACAAACTGTATTTTCTATTGCTCTAACACCAAACCCTAGTTCTACCCAACCCTTACAGGAAATTGTGTATAGGTTTGCCTTCTAAAAATAAAAAACAATATTTAGTATGATTGAATGTCATACATAATGTCCACAAAACTCTCCATCTCCTTATAACATTTGTGCAATAGCAATGTTGTTACACATACATGGGTACACGCAAACACATATACATACACTTTTTTTCACGCTCACCTACAACTCATACACTCTCTCTTTCTCTCTCTCTCTCTCACACACACACACACACGCAGACAGATATAATCACACAGTTTCTCACTCTCTTCTACACACATTATACACTCACACACTTACACTCACACTTTGCACTAAAAGATAATGCTGAAAAGTTTTTCAATGTTTTATATTGTTTTGTTGACTTTTAAATAATGGTTTTATTGTAAACAAACAAACAAACAAGAAAATTACTGTGTTTAATGAGAATCTGCCGCGATGCAGATGCAGTAGGTAGTGCCGTCGCCTCACAGCTAGAGCCTCGGCTGGATCAGTTGGTGTTTCTGTGTGAAGTTTAAATATTCTCCCCGTGTTAGCATGGGTTTCCTCCGGGTGCTCCGGTTTCCCCCACAGTCCAAAGACATGTGGTACAGGTGAATTGGGTAGGCTAAATTGTCCATAATGTGTTAGTGTGAATGAGTGTATGTGGATGTTTCCCAGAGATGGGTTGCGGCTGGAAGGGCATTTGCTGCGTAAAACATATGCTGGATAAGTTAACGGTTCATTCCACTGTGGCGACCCCAGATTAATAAAGGGACTAAGCCGACAAGAAAATGAATGAGAAAATGAAATATGTTATTGCCTATGGCTATGATTTAGTATTCAAATTATTATTTTTTTTTTGACTGTTTTTAAATAAATTCCTCTTATACTTCATATTTTCTGATTTTAATAGGTTATTTGGGTCATTCTTAAACTACGGGTACTTTTATGTCCGTCCTTTGATCATATATATATATATATATATATATAAATGTATTAATATAATTTTGTTCAAATTTATCTTTCTTTGTCAAACTAATTATAAAACTTACTTTTTTTTAAAAAATACTAGTTTTTTATTTTATATATTTTTTTCATATTATTCAACCTAGTTTTAGGTATCAAAATCACTGTTTTCGCTTTGTTGCACACCCAGAGTTTTAAACTTTAACAATGAAAATAACATTTTAAAATATTATTTATGGTATCTATTAATGTATCCTAATGAAGCACTAGTGAAATAATTTACATATTTCATAATTATTAATGTGAGACTATTATCAATATAATTTTTTTATATAAAATATAGCTGTTGCACAGTATCAGTGTCATTTCCACCAAAACACTATAATGTTGCTTTAAAACGTGGATTATTGGATATTGGATTATTGGATTATTTAGGTGATTTCTATAAAAATGAATAGTGACATCTGAGTACATGTTCGAGAATTAAATTTTTCATCAACAACAGGAAGAAAAATTGAGGAAAGTATTACTTGATAAGAAAATACATTTATTTTACGTCATTTCCAAAACATGCTGTAAGTTCAAAGGTGTTTTTAAAAACCAAACAAAATTAAGGTAAATAAGAGTATTTTATATGAAATGCTAGTATCAATTCAAAGCTAATCAGTAAAGCTATCTTTAATTTCTTCACAATGAACTGTAGAAAAGTAATTTCTACTACTGCTCACTGTGGTGGAAAACACAGCATGTGGTGAAAATGACATTTATGGTTTCAAAACCCAATTGATTACAAAAGTGCAAGGGTTGGACAATGAAACTGAAACACTGATCAATTTAGTGTTGGAGGTTTCATGTCTGAATTTGAGCAGCTGGTGGCCAGTCTTCATTGATTGCAGAGTTTGCAGAGTAAAAGAATCTATGCCCCACCCCTATTCCCACAACCATGTAACGTTTTAATCAATTTTGACCTTTGTTTTGTTTTTAAATGTAGACTGAGAGTCCTGATGAAAGTCTATAAAAGGGGTGCATTTTACGGCAAGGGTGTTTCTTGGCACAACACAGCGCATGAGCAGCACATATTTTTTTGACATGAATGTTTGTGGGATTCATACCCGGAGCGGGAACGCGTCCAGCGCATCAGCACAAGCAGGAACAGTGCAAGAGGCACACAGATATATCTTCTTTGCGCATGCATCAGTTTGTTTATGGTTACATTGCTTTCACCAGTCTTGATTCAGTTCCACACAGAGAATAACATCTTTATATAACGAAAAAAAAAAAAGTCCTTAAAACCGGCTTTTTAATAGCTAAAAAATATTTCACCAAGAATATTTTTTTGAGTTAGAAAATGGATGTGTGGCGTGAAAGCATGAGAATACTGTCAAATGCGTGACTCTATTGAATGCGTGAGAGTTGGCAGCTATGATATGCATGGCGAACTGCTTACTTGTGCCAATGCCAAATGCCTGTTTCAATGGTGCAGCAGCCAAAATCTTGGACTGTGGATAATGTGAAACGTATTGTTCTCTGATGAGTCGACATTCACTGTCTTTCCCACATGCGGGAGAGTTACAGTGTGGAGAAGCCCCAAAGAAGCATCCCACCAAGACTATTGATGCCCAGAGTAAAACATTAGGACTATGTGCACCCAATGGTCCAAACATAAAGGTAGTAGTGTGTATCAAGATGATTATGCACCAATACACACACCAAGAGTGGTGACAGAGTGGTTTGATTAACATGAGAGTGAAGTCAAACATCTTCCATGGCCTGCACAGTCACCAGAGCTATATATTATTGAGCACTATGTGGTATTTTGGGGGAATGAGTCAGGAAATTTTTTCCCTCAGCAGAATCACATAGTGACCCTGAACACTATTCTGTAAAAAGAATGGCTCAAAATCTCTCTGTCTATTGTGCAAGACTTATATCTATCATTTCTGAGATGAATTAATGATATATTGTCCGCAAAAGGAGGTCCGACACCCTACTTTTAAATTATTCATTTATTCTTTTTCTTTTCGTCTTAGTCCCTTTTTTCATCAGGGGTTGCCACCGCAGAATGACCCGCCAACTTATCTAGCTTATGTTTTGATGACCATTCAACCCGCAACCCATCTCTGGAAAACACCCATATACCATCATTCACACTCATACACATCGGACAA